TGGTTCCCCGGCCGCGGACCCCCTTTGTGTAGAACTCCGATTCCACCACGCCGCCCAAGCCCGGCCCGCGCCAGCGCACCAGCAAGGGAGTCGGAGGGGGTGGGGGGAGATGGGCGCCGGGCCCATCGCCTCCGCGTCGCTGGCAGCACCGGGTAATCTGGTACCACGCCCAGCGGAGTCCCCCGGCAGCCCACAGCATAGGCTGGGCTGCGGTGTTGACGATGAAGGCCAGGGCACCCAACACGAACGTGAAGATGCCTAGGGCAAAGCATAAGACCGCGGTCTCCCACCAATACCCCAGCATCTTGACGCCCAGGCGGTCGACGGCGGATCCAAACCATCCGCCACTCGTGCGGATCGTGCCCGGGTGGTCGGGGGAGCTTACCCACGCTCCGTAGCCCGCGAACTCGAAGACCCAGGCTGCGAAGCCCCAACCGGGACCCGGCCCCGCCTCCGGGGGCGGGGTAGGTGGCGGCGGCGGCGGTGGGGGTACGTTCCGGCCAGACCACCAATAGGGGCCGGTGCGGGACCCACCACTCCCACCCATACCCGCCCAGCCCCCGCGGCGGGTCAGCTCGCCACGGCCCGTCCGGTTTCCCGGGCGGACAGGCTGCCGGCGCAGGCGCGTGGGCTCGCTGTTTACCTCTCGTATGTGCCGCGTAGGCGGGGCTGCCCGTGGGCTTCGCCCTCGCCTACGCTGTGCCGTGCCCGCGGGCGTGGTCGTTGTAGTCGACCCTGACCGCGGCGGCGGTGGGACGCCCGGCGTCCCCGGGGGCTTGGCCTGCGGCCCTCGCCCCTTTCCCCTGCAGGCGCGGGCTTGGCGGGCGGTCCTCGCCCCTTGCCTCGCCCCCCACCGCCTGCCGGCAGCGCTGTCGGCCCGGGCAGGGCTGACGGCGTCGGCGCTGGGACCTCCTGTCCCCCGCGCCCGAACGGCAGCCAGCCAAGCGCCCCTTGGACCGTGAGAGCACCGCCCGTAACCAAGATCATCAGGTGCGCTCCCAGGAAGCCCACAGCCATGGCACCACAGGCGCGCTACCTAGTCCGCGGACTAGCACGGCTGTGGTTATGGCCGCCCCGCGGCCCCCTGGAACACCCGCGCGTCGGCCAGAGCCGAACGCTACGGACCCAAAATGGCTACCTGAGCCCACACCCCCTTCCACTTAACCTGCAGTCTACAACCAATCAGACTATACAAGCTTAGGGGAAGGCCTAGGGGAAGGGCCTAGCGGTAGGACTAGGGAGGCCCAAGGAAAATGCCTAGGGGTGGGCCTAGGGTAGGCCTAAGGGAAGGGCCAAGGGGCACACCTACGGTAAGCCTAGGAGAACGGCCAAGGGGTTGGTAGACCAAGGGCAGGCCTAGGGGACGGCCCTTGGGATACGCCTTAGGGTACGCCCAGGGAAGGGCCCAGAGGTAAACCTAGGGTAGGCCCAAGGGAAGGGCTGGAAGAGCACGGAGCACAGTTGCCGATCCAGGCGGCAAGGTAAAGCACACCACGCGTTCCTTTTCACCAGTTGCCTCAGCGAGTTCCTGATAGGCCAATCCCTTCAGAAAGGCCATGTTGATGTCAAGGGAAGCAATGATCAATTGCTTCTTGCACGCTGCCGTGGTGGCAAGTAACCTCTGGCTCGACCTCCTGGCTGTTCCCGAAAATGTTTCTACGTCGAAGGCTTCAAGGTCCATGAAACCTCGAAGTACCAAACGAAGCGGGATGGGGCGTTTCATATCACCCTTTTCCTTCTTCGCGAATTTCCATGTGTATACATACCTCGAAGTCATGAGGTTCGACGCTTTGGCTACCTCCTGCATCTTAAAGCATGTGTGGTCGAACCATGTCTTGAGCTCAGTGAAAAAGGGCCTTCGGCATTTTCTTGGGGTTCGCCTGGATGTCGGCTTTGGCGCGGAGGTCGTCTTCCTTGACGACCACAGCTCGCTTTGCAGCGGCGGTACTATACTCGCATAGTGGTCCGTCACCCGGTCGGCATATCATAGCAGTGTTGCTGCTCTGCAAGACTACCTTTGACATTTCTGTCCGTAAAGCAACCATCAACGTATCGGCCGTTTTCGTCAGAGTCGAGTCCGTAAGCTGTCTCTTCGACCATGGTGCACAGGGGGGCGTAGTAGTCTCCTCGTTATCGGAGTCGCGAGTGCGCCCCACTTCGGCAGGTGTCCCCGCTGTTCATCAGCTACAATGATCAGCACACTCTGATCAGGAACCATCTGCGCGGGTACGGTAAAAGAGGTATTCTAGTGATCTGCCTCCACAATTCTCTTTCCTCTCGCAGTTCTGCTTTGCCCAACCTCCATGGCATGTGACCTCAACCTTGCTTTGCAAGGCGAAGCTTCCGGACTCAACCGACTCAACCTGTTTTTGTATCATCGTCATCATCGTCGTCATCATCGTCGTCATAATATCCATCATCGTCCGCGTCGTCGCCATCATCATCACCATCTCCTCATCATCGCCATCATCATAATATCCATCATCATATCCTCGTCATCATCATGTAGCGGTGATGATGATGATGATTAAACCAAGACCCGCATGACGATGATGGCGGCGTGAACATGTTGATGATGATGATGATGACGATGATGATGAAGTCGATGATTGCGATGATGATGGCGATGAATATGATGATGCTGATGATGAGGATGACGATAACCTTCTCTCGGACTGCGCGGGCCGTGCTGAGTACTGTGGCAGTCGAATCGGATTTGGATACTGTTGCAGCCTAGTCGGAATCGGACAGCACCACAGCCTCCGCGGAAGCGGGCCACCGCATTTCGTCAAGCACATCCGTGAGGTCGGGCAGCGCCACGGGGACCCGTGCCAGGTGATCGGCCACGACGTGGTTCACGACGTTGAAGAACTCCTTCGGGCCAGGCGTGGCGTCGATCCTGCGCGCCCTGAACTCCGGAAAGACGTCGGAGCGGATCATGACGGCGATCTGCAGCCTGCTGTCGTCTACGCGCTGTTGCAGCTCGTGGCGGGTCGCGAAACAGTCCTGGCAGTCCGCGGGGGCGTGGCGGTGCACGTCGTGCTCGAGGGGGGACAGGGTGCCCATGTAGAGGGGCCCAGGCTTTTGCTCGAGGGTGACGACCCTTCCGCAGGAGGCTGTGCTCGAGGGTGACGCCCCATCATGTGCTCCCAGGACCCTGGGACCCTCACTTGCACGGAGCGCGCCCCGAAAATCGTCACGGCCGCGTGCAACAGGGAGCATCCGCCATCTGTGTGCCAACCATCGTCCCGTGCGCCTGGTTGCATGAGCTGGATCGATGCGTACGCGAACGCGTTGTCGGCGAAGTGCTCTGCCATGATGGGCTTTCCGTTCTGCTCGACGATGGCAGATGGCATGCCGTCGGCTTTGACAGCCTCGCGCATTTTGTCTCCCAGCTGTTGCAGCCAGGGGCGCATCTTCTTCCGCAGCGCTCGCACGAAGGCGGCCATGTGGGGCGAGGGGGTGATCTGCAAATTCCCATCCTTGTTGAGGCTGCGGCACTTCGGGTGGCTTTCGTCGTCCACGATGCCTGCGACCTCTGTTTTCAAGCCCTTTGCCGCCTCGTCGCCTCGGACGCATTTGGAGACGGTTGCTCCCGTGTCCAGGCGCTCCTCGGCCAAGTTCTGCCAGCACGGGTCTCTCTGCAAGAAGCGGAGCAAGTCTGGGTCCAGCTCCGCCTCCGCTATCGTGCCCGCGCCGGTTTTTCCCTGCGCCATGGAGATGCGCACGACGAGCTGGGCGCCAGCCGGCTGCAGGAAGCGACGAGCCCTTAGACTACTGAGTGTCGCTCTGGCGCCAGGGTGCCAAAACAGGGAGCTCTCGGCGGCCTTCAACAAGTCTGGGGGGCAGTCTGCAAGTTCGTCAACGGGCCAGCGCCCTCGGCCGTCGAGTGCCTTCGCTGTTTCAGCCTTTAGCCAATCCTCGCCCGACCGCTTGAACCACTTCTCAAAGAAAGGCAGGTTGTCCAGCCACGGGGCGGGTTCCTGGTCCTCGTAATTGTAGAAGTCTCCCGACCCTGGCTCCTTGCCTGGGATCCCCAAGACCTCCCTGCAGAAAACCACGAAGTCTTTCGGGTGCCCCCCTGGATGCCCGAGCGCGCCGCAAGGCTCTGGTTGGAACAACACCTTGCGCGTGTACAACTCCGCCATCAGGCACCCGATGGACCACATGTCCAGGTCCTCTGAGTAGCGCTGGTTCCCCAAGAAAGCGTCTACCGCTCTGTAAGCGGGCGTGCATACTCCGAGGTCATCGCAGGTCGGGCTGTAGCGCAGTTTCCTCTTCAACCTGCCGTGGGGATCCGCCATCTCCACACAGCCGAGGTCGGCGAGCACCACCTGCGGAGAGGGGCGGATGGAGGAGAGGGGAGCTCTAACATAGTATGTTAGAGCTCCCTGGGAGCTCTAACATGGAACGCGATACCATGTTAGAGCTCCCAGGGAGCTCTAACATGCTATGTTAGAGTCAGAGCTCCCAGGGAGCCCTAACATGCCATGTTAGAGCTCCCTGGGAGCTCTAACATGGCACGTGATGCGCCGACGTCGGCGGCAGCGGGCCCACTTGGTCCAGGACGGCGGAGGCAGCAATGCAACGTGGAGCTGCTGGCGCAGAGGGTGGAGCCGTTGCAGAATATGGAGGCAGTGGGTCCGCTCAAAACGGAGCTGCTGATTCAGCAGATGGAGACGCACATGTTGGGAATAAGAATGCACGCCTCGGAACTGCTGGCTCAGCAGATGGAGTCGAACGCGTTGGAGCTCAGGGGCCCGAAGAGCAGAGGGAGGGGGGCGACGACGCGGCGAATCCGCAGGCGTTTCCACCCGAGGTGGCGCAGCTCTGGGCGACCGCGGCGGGCACGGCAGTGAGCATCGGAGACATTCAGACGAACATCTTCGAGATCAAGAAGGGCATGGACGACTTGGCGTCGTTCGCCTCGAAGCTGGGACACAGGGCGCAAGATTGATAGGCATGTGGAGGAGCTCATGCGCCCCCAGACCATAGAGAAGGAAGAGAAGACGCAGACGTTGGAGTTCAAGGCCCTTCAGGAGCACAAGGACAGCTTGCAGAAATTCATCGTGGCGCAACAGTCGATGCAGAAACAGATGCAAGAGTTCAAAGGGCAGGCGACGATGATCGAGACGGCGGTGAACAGCATGTGCCCGAGGGGCCGCGCACGGGTTGGAGGTGGGGGACCGGCTTCTTCGACCAGCGCGGGGTCGTTGCCAGGGCCGCCATGCAGGACGGACCTACTGGGCGCCAGCGCCGACGCAGCGCTGGGACCAGCAGCGCAGGTGCAGGCCGCATGAGTTTACACCGAGCGAGATGCGCCTGAGAATTTTGCCAAGCGAAGCTTGGCCATAAGAGGCTGAGAATTGTTTGCGAGCAGTTTTGCCGGCATTCAGTGGAGGGTGGAGGATCATTCACAAGAAGATGGAGGAACGCAGATTACAGCGTAGTGAGATGCAACATCTCTGGCCGCGAAAACTCGCAAAAGTGGGGATGGATCTAGCCGAAGACCTAACTTTAGGGAAGAGTGACATATAGAGGACGGGGAGACTGAGGAGGGGGATTGGGGGGGGGAACATCAGGGGGAGGTGAAGCTGGAGGGGGGGGGGCAGGATGGCCACCCGCGATTTTCATCAGCGCGCGGATGCCCCCTTCAACACAGACATGACCGCTTGGGAACCGAGATGTTCGGGGGATGGCCTCGGGGCCTGTAAGCGCCTAAGCGCTTAAAAACCTAAAGCGACTGCAACAGGGGCGCCTGAGCCCCTGACAGCAACGGGGCGATGCGCACCCCTTTGATTTTCTATCTTCGACGCCTGCTTACAATTATGATTTGTCCACCTACTTAGAAGCATTGCCGTTCAGACTTATCGGCGCCCTGGCGAGTCCAGATTATATGCAGAAAGCACTAGCCTAGCCAGAAATCAACTTAGCACGGAGGGCCTTCGCGCCATCCCTATCAAGAGACAACCTGCAAACGTAGACACCTCCAGGTCAATACTTGCCTTGCCAGATCCGCACCAGCTGACAGTGGTTAGGTCGACCGTCGCGCCAGGCTCGCGCGCTCCCTGACTATGGGGTTGCGAGAACCATCTCACGGCACCATTCACACTCACGTACGGCTCGAGGCCGCGAGGCTTTGCCGAGGAGACCAATTCCTGGGAAATCTGCGGGGCTCATCTTGTGGATGTAGTCGCCCATAGAGCACGGCATCTTCTCCATCTGGCGCCCCTCTGCGTAACCGACGCAATCTTCATGTGTGCCCACGCGGCCTGCCAGCGGGCGCAGACTCGGCTGGCGCCCATGCGGGGCCTTGCACAGCAGCGGCGGAACCGCGCTCTCGAAGTGAAGCCTGCGAACTCCCCGGGCGCAACCGTGCGAAGGAGCTGCGTCCCATTCAGCAAGGTATACAACGCTGAAGCCCAATGCGGTCGCCGACATACAGCATTCCACAAGATCGAACTCCCTATCTGGCGTCAAGAAGCGGTTCCAATGGCCCGCTGTGGTTCGCCCGCACTTGGAGCTCTCGTCCGCCCTGGAGCTGGTGGAGCGCCTCAGCATGATGGTGGTTCCAGGCCTTCGGCTCGTACCCTGGAACGTTGAGCATTGGCGCAATCAGAGCTGGAGCCCCCCCTGCAATGAGAGAGTCCGATCGGCGGGTGACTGAAACCACTGTCGACCTGCCCCAATGCCGACTCGAAGCATATCGACTGGAAGTAATGTCCATCCGAATTGTCCGCCCATCTCCCAGCATAGTCTCTGATCAACCGCCGCAAATACTCTCTGCAACTTGCAGGTGGCCACAAGTTAGCCATCACAACGAGCAATGGGCCCTCCAATTGCAATGGGCTTTCCACGTCTTTGAGCCGCAGGATATCTGCCGTAGCGAACTCGACTCCCCAACTGTGCATATCCATACATCGGGCAGTGCTGTGAGTCTTCATCACATCGAGCGAGAGATCTGATGCAACCCAATTCGAAAGAAGCAAACCATGTCCAGACTCGGCAACATAGCCATCATCGTTTGGAACCATGAAAGCAAAGACGCCGCTGAGCGGGAGATGCCGCTGTGCGAAGTAAAAGTCTGGGGCGGCGGCCCTGACTGAATATTCGCATGAGCCTAAAAGGCGGCGGGGCGATCGGGGACACCACATCGATCTCACTATCGATTTCACGATCGGCCACACGATCGATCTCGTTCAACGGGGCACCACGGGACGCCGCGGAACACCGCGGGACATCTGTCGATCTCACGATCGATCGCACATTTTGGGACACCACGGGACACCGCGGGACGCATCGGGGCACAGTCTCGATCTCACTATCGATCTCAGTATCGATCTCACTCAACAGGACACCACGCGCTCGCGTATACACAACGATGAGAATATCATCACGTCGGGGGGGGGGGTAGGGAGGAAACGGAAAAGAGGGCAAGGAGGGGGGGGGGAGCAGAGGGGGAACGATTGTACGATCTGGCCGGCTGCGTGCACCATGGCGGTTCTTAAACACCTAATTGGCCGACCGTGCAGGCACTGTAATGCGCGGGGGGCGGGCCGCCCCTGCAGTTACCCAGTCTGGCTGGATGTCTGCAGTAGCCAACTTCGTCCGTCATTGTTTATAGCAGCCAGCCACGCCGTGCAATCGCAAAAGTGGGCCGATATCCTCCACCTCCTCACCCTTCTCCTCCTCCTCCTTCTCCTCCGCCTCCTCCTCCACCAAGTGGGGCAAGTGGGGCAAGTGGGGCAGGCGGGGCAAGTGGGGCAACTGGGGCAAGTGAGGCAAGTGGGCAAGTGGGTCGCACCTCAAATACCGAATACCATCTGCACGTGCAATGGTTTTACATGTTTTACATGGTTTTACATATGTTTCACCTGGCATGGGAAGAGGGCGGCGGAACTTATGGAACTTATGGAAGATATACATTTAGCTCAAGTAAACGTGAAGTTATTTATCTGGATGGACATACAAGTTCCCTAAGTCATCCCCAAGTTAACTTGATCATCTACATCTTAGTTAAATTGAAAAGATCATCCCAGTAAGGAGTCGAGACGACGCGTCGAGCCCTAGGAACCGACAGATCACAGACCGCCAGAGGTCTGCTTCCCGGGGGGGAAGAACGGGGCCGATCAGAACTTCTCGTTCTTGAACCATCTGAGCGGCGCAGCCGTTGTCTCCCAACTCATGGGCTGGAATCAAACGCGGGCGAACTTCCCGAGTTGAGTCGAGCCCGACCCGGCGAACCGTTCGGCCTAGGTCCGTCGCCGGTCTCTGGCCGCTCAGGTTGATTTCGCTAGATCGAACGGAAGAAGCCTCGGGGGCGCTATCCGGGGCGGCAGCGGCTCCTGAGACGGCGGGGCGGCAGCTGCGGCGGGGGGGGGGGGGGGGTGCGCATATCCGAGGGGCCTCTGATCCCCGGACGGGACGGGCTGGCCCAGGAGGGCCACTTCCATAATCCAAATTTCGAGCACTGTGCCCCGACTGCGTGGGCCCGGTTCCGCGCCCTCGGCCCCCCCCACCGGGCCCCAGAAGGAGGATGCGGGGGCACCCTCAGAGGCCGCATCCACCGCGCCGGTTCGTTCCCCCGGGGGCCGCATCTGCTCTCGGAGACCATCGAAGCGCTCATTGTCCTGAGCAAGTAACTCAGCCCCCAAAGATTCCCGCCTCGTTGCAGATCCGACCTGTTCCTAGGGGCATTCCAAGGGCCGCGCCCGCGCGGCGATCCAGACGGCGCCCCCGGATTGGTGCGCCACGATCCCCGGGCCCGCCCAGCGGCCCCTCTGCAGCGAGTGAGTGATGTCAGACCCCGTGCCCCCTGTTCGCACATGCGCCCTTTCGCTAGGCTTGAAATGCCGATCACTATGTCGGCGGCCCTGGAGGCTTCTGGGCGGCGAGAGCGCGCCTCAAGACTCGCCTGTGCCTTGCGAGCCTCTTCGCGCACCCGATGCTGCCGAGCCAATTCGGCCGCTGCTGAGTCTGACTACCTACCAGACCACCCCAACCCAACCCGAAGACCCGATTTTCGGGTTGGGGGGGGTAAGGGTTCCACGCGTGTTTTTTCGAGGTTTCCCGACCCCCCCCCAACTAGAAATCGAGGGTAAATCTGAACCTTCGGGTTGGGTTGGGGTGGTTTGGTGGGTGGTGAGAGTCGGCGCCTGGGCCCGGGACATCTTCGCACCCCGCCAGATTCAGGGCGGCGTCGCTCAGAGGCGACCCTGGGAGTCGGGGGGCGCAACCGACAACGAGCTGGGTGGGGCTGCGCCCACCTCGGCGGGATTCTTGGCAGCGACAGATTCGCAGATGATGTCGACCACGTCGGCCGAGACCCCTGAGGTTGCTTGGGCGCAAAACAAGTCGCCCCATTGGTAGCGGAGCAAAAAAAAACAACGGCGACGATTCCGTCATCGAGCGGCGCCGTCGCACGTGCGCAGTAGATTCGCAAAGAGCAACTGCGCCCGCTGTCCGGAAAACTGGTTTGATGTTGTCGATGTTGATTTCCGTTGGCATTGATGCTTGTTGTTTCTTTCCGTGCGTGCACGATGTTAACGACCACTTTCGCCCGTGTCGCAAGCGTATGTGTTTTGTTTCCGTAGCTGATGTGCGTTGCTGGCGCTGTTCGACGGCATGCGCGTGTCGTTATGATGTTGCGGCTGAGTTCGTTGGTGTGGTTGTTGTTGTCTCTGGTCTTTTCTGCTGGCGCGTGGCTGTTGCTGCTGCGTTGCGCGCTTGTACATGATCGAACTGCTGCGGTTATCGCTGTTGTTTCTGTGTTCGCTAGCGCAGGAATGCTGTCAGTAATATGTTTTTGTTCGGCGGTGTCGGGTTTGCCTTTTGTTGCTGGTTTTCGCTGGCGCCTGGCGCGTAGCACTGCAATTTCTCGCGGCGCGCACGCTGCGCCAACCCCTTCGATTCGTCGTGGGGGAAAGTTAGGGCCGCCAGCACTTCTGGGCGCGTCAAGTGCGAAGCACGTGTATGTCTGTATAGCTACATGTATGCATGTATAAATATAATATACATATATGTACATATATACATAGTTAATCAGTTGTTGTATGTATGTATGCATTATGGATGTACGTATTCTGTATCTATATATACAGCGAGGGTGAAGGGCCAAACGGTCACTCATTGTCTCTGGGCGCGCGGTTGACGTGGGGATCCGCGGTGAAGATTAGGCGCGTTGCGTTGAATTCTCACTCGTGAAGAATAATTATTGTTGATCCCCCCACCGGCGCATATTGTTTTTCTCCATCAAAGTGCGCCCCATCGACGCTCGCACCCTGTTTTTTGACAGGGAACGTCTTCCTGCACAAACTGGGCCCCTTGCCCCCCAGATTGCAACAACAACGGCTCCCGCCTGAAGCTTCCTTGCCATTTAGCCGGGCCCCCCGCCCCCCAAGACTTCCTAGCATCTTATTCCGGAATCGCGCTCTCGCTTGGGACTTCCTTATAATGCATTCAAGCATCGATCTCCTGGCGCTCTGGAGTCGCGCTCTCGCTGGAGACTTGCTTGCGACTTACTGAAGGATGGCCGTGCGTTGGGATTTCCTGCAATTTGCCCGAGCGCCGCGCCCCCGACGCCCAGGCGCCCAGGAATCGCGCCCGCTGTGGCCCCATGCGCATGCCCCCCCGCGGCCCCGTCGTCGCCACGCGCGCCCCCCTCACTGTCATGCGTGGCCCAGTTGCTACCCTCAGTGGCCCCGTAGTTGCCTTCTGTGGCCCCGCATTATCTGCACTTCGTGGCCCCTGCTCGTTCGCGCTCTTCGAGGCCCCATGCGCATTCTTTTCGCGCCCCCGCCGTCGCCCTCCGCGGCCTACTTCGTGCCACTTCGTGCCCTTCGTGGCCCTCGCTTTCGCTCGTCGTCGTCGTCGTCGCCGTCGTCATAAACGTCGTCGTCGTCGTCGCGGTCGGCCCCCTGCCCGCCCCTCCCGGGGTCGGGTCGACGGTCCGCGGCCGCCCCGCCGACCAGCGCCGCCGCTGGTCAGGCCGACGGCCCGCGGCCGCTCCGCCGCTTGCCGGGGCCCTGCCTGCAGGGAAGAAAGGCATGCCCCTCAAAAAGGGTTCGATCGAAGACGAAGAGGGCGGGCATCGAGGGTTTGGGAAATACGCGTCATTGGACACTCGAGCATATAGGGGCGAACAATATTAAAATTATTGGCGTTGTTGTCGTTGTTGTCGTTTGTCTGTTGTCGTCGCCCCCCCGCGACCCACCTGCGACCCGCCCCGCGACCCGCCACCCGATCCGCCCCGCGACCCGCCCCGCGACCCGCCCCGCAATCGCAGCCGCGACCCGCCCGCGACCCGCCCCGCGACCCGCCCCGCGACCCGCCCGCCGGGCCCCTTGCAGAATTTGCGAAACTTTGGCGCTCGCGGCGGGCTTCTCCAGAGTCTCGCAGACTGCTGGCGCCCGCGCCGCCTCCTCACTCTAATCCGCGCATGCGAGGCGCCGCGCCTTGCAGCGCGCGTGAAGCAAGACAATGACTAACAGCGGGAGGACACTTACCATCGTAATCGCTGAACTTTGCAAGGGCGCACAGCGCCTCTGGAGGCGCGAAAATTCAGCCCGGCGCGTTTGCGCCGCGCGGCGCTGCGAGCCCGCCCATCCAGACGCCTCGGAGGACGATCGAGGGCCCCGTCTGCCCGTTCCCCACGGGGACGGGGTCCGCCACGAGCGACCCTCATCAGGGGCGCGCGCCACACATGCCTGTCGGGGTCGAGGCGGGTCAAAGGCAAACGATCGCCCCCCCAGAGGTCGCGGGGGACGCCCCCCCAGGTCTGACTCCGGTGCCCGCGCAGAGGGGCACGACGTAAGCATCGAAAAAACAATGAGGGGGGGTCAAGGAGGAGGAGGGCGAGGAGGGAGAAGGAGAGAAGTAGGAGGCAGGCGGATGGGGAGGAGGAAGTGGAGGAGGAGGAGGAGGAGGAGGAAGTGGAGGAGTTCGAGGAGGAGGAGGAGTTCGAGAAGGACAACGATAACTGCCCCGTCAAAACAAAAGAGTCCGACGATGTTCGGCGCGCGCAGTGACGGTCCTATCGGCCATCTCCCGAAGCTGGATGTTTGGGCCTCAAGGGGCCCATGCTGTCCACAGCGCGCCGCAGTTTACTCGCGTTTTCGACGTGCGCCTGAAACGCACGAATATTGCCCCATGTAAAGGCCCAGCGATTCGGACGAATAAGCGCGAAGATTAAAACCGCGGATGCACCAAGTGTCGCCAGCGCGTCGGGCAGAACAGGGCTTGGATTGTTTTCGTGTTTTGATTGGGATGCGTTGCAAGATAAACTCCGGAATGCATTTATTTGACTCCGCTGCGTGGAGGCTGAGATCGTTTCCTGGGCCGCTGTGCATCGAGGTGCTCAAATCTTGAACTTGGTTCGGATTGCGCCCTGCTGAAACTTGCGTGTCTTAGAACGCTTCAGCTCTAACCTGAATGAAGCTGCCATGGGCAATTGCCTCGCGGCCGCCACCGCCATCGCCCCCCTTGAAGGCGCCGGCTACACATAGTTCCTGCAGGACAGCCGATATGAATCATTCAAACCACCTAAGGACAAGCAGTGCATTCACTCTGGTACAAAAGCGCGCCCAATCGCCACGCCAGTCGAAACTGAAAACACAAGGTTACTGCGTCGAACCCACGTCTCGCTGTCGCGCCCCCAGAATCGAAATTGGCCCGGGCATTCGCTGCACGCCAAAACATAAATAGTTCGTCTGCGCCGCGTTGGCTCGATGCGGTCATTCGCGCGAAGTCCCAGCTCATGAGGCGCGCTTCCTTTATACTATATATGTATATGTAAGCCGCCGATCGATCGGCGCCCTTGCAATCAGGCGACCGCCAAGCGTCTGTCGTGCATCGGCGCAACGGGCACGGACTAAGACGCGCAGCGCCCGTTGGAAGGCCTAGCGCCGAGAACTCACCCATGTCCAATCGTGCGCAAATCACAGCAACGTTGAAACCCATCGGATTGCCGGCATTCATATGTCGATGCAAATCTTCATTGCTGAATGGCCATAAGTCGCGGCGCGCCGTCGGATTAGCTTCTTCCGCCACTGCTTCCGGCGCCCGCGCCATGCAGCTAAAAGCTGGATATAGGTCGCAGTGCCCCGCGCAGCCGCGCGTGCGCATTTCTGAGGCACGGAGGCGCGCAATGAGATATCTGCCACCGCTCGGGGCGCTGCACAACCACGCGCCAAGAACCGAATTCGCGCGCTCGGACGGAACGTCGCCCAGATGCACGCCGAATGGCAAAACGCAATCGCCGCGAGATTCTCTTTGGACAACTGTGCGCGAAGCATAGAAATGCGGCAGCCGTCTCCGCCAGCGCAATAGCATCGCCCGCCTTCGCCCTGGAGAGATCCGAGCCAAACTTCACGATAACTAGATCGAACGGGCTGAGCGCCGGGACCTCCACTGCACGGCGAGGGGCGCCAGAGCGGCGGCGCGCCCTTCGGCAAAACAAGCCTGTCGAAGTGAGAAGAATATGACCTTTATGGCAACCGTCTGTTGCGTCGGGCCAGTCTGGGAACCGCGCCTGTTGCGTCAGCTCGAGATGCCCAAAAAGAAAATGCGCAATCTCGAGTAGCATTCATGCGCCCATCAATATTTCAGCGCATGCTGTAGCCACTGAACTCTCTCGCAACTTCCTCTATTCTCGTTGATTTGGAATCGCCATCTGCATCGCTGTCGCCACATGCGACCCGGCCAGGTGGAGGCGCCAGCGCAGGAAGGGATCGCCCCCGCGCGCGCGACATGCAACGTCGCCGAAAGCCAAGGGTGGATTGGGCCAACACCTTCACGGATAATGTCATAATATCTGGACACCGTTTTGATCTTGTGCATCTGGCAACATCGTTTCGCCACGAGAAATGATGCAACTTTCACAAAAACCGCGCGCATGGGGCGCCGCCCGAAGAGCCGACGAACGACGGGCGCCGCCCCTCCTCATCCTCCTGCTCCTGTTGCTCGTCATCCCCCTCCTCTTCCTCCGTCTCTCCCGCTTCTTTCTCCCCCCGCTCCCGCTCGTCGCCCCCGCCCTCGCCCGGCCCCCCCCGCCCCCCCCCCCCGCCCCCCTCCTTCCCCTCGCCCCTGCCCTTCACCCATCGCGCGGGCGGCGCGGGGCGCCGGGCCGCCACGGGCGACCTCCATTGTTGGCGCGGATGGCGCAGGGGTCAGCAGCGAGGCGCGGCCCTCCTCCTCCTCCATCCTCTTACTTGTTTGCTCACGACAAATTTGTTTCGACGGCGCCTTGCGCCGTTGATCCGGCGACCGGAGCCGCTCAGCTCGGCGCGGCGGGGGGCCCGAGCACGCAATCCGACATGAACAGGGCGATCGCACCGTCGGCGCGTCGCACATGAGAGTTCGAAGGGGGAGCGGTCGCGGATGAGGGGGGGGGCAGGGAATTCTGTCGGAGCAAGAGCACGAGTAAGAGCCCCTGGACGGCGCCCGCGTGCACGCCCGACATCATCGAGGCCCCTCATGGACCATCTGGGCCACAGAGAAAACGCGCAACAGCCGAGTTTTAAACCCCCCATGCTTGACTGAGCAGGGGGGGTCTAAAGTCGAACGAAGTCCCTTGGAAATCCGCCGCTTTCCTCGCCCAAAAGACCTCCCGAGGCCCCCCTGGGGAACGCGACCCCTCCAGCTCCCCTGATCATCCCGCCTGCGTCTGCGTCCTGCTCGCGTTCCCCACGCGCCTCGTAGCTCCTCGCGGCCGCCCCCCCCATCCTCCCGGCCCCCCCGCCCTCCCTACCCCCCCACTTCCTGTCGCCGCCGCGTCCGCGCAGCGAACGTGGATTTCATATTTTTCTCGCTCGAGCACGCCGAACAGTAAGCACATGCGCAGCGCTGCACCTCCACGGCCGGGCCCCGGACACTAGGAAACAAAAACAATGCCCTCGAGGGCGCGGACTGGGTGGAAGCGCATCCCCACAACGCTCGTCGCGGGACCAACTCATCGCAGAAATGCAAGCTCGATCCCACTGCGCGCGCAACACCTTACAAACCAAGTCGAATCTGGCTAACACACAGCACTCACATAACATATTCATTCAGTCTCAGATAATGTTCAGAATGTTGGTTTTCCTTGCAACAGTCCATTCCACAAAATGTTGTTTAATATTCACGTAGTGCCATATTCATCGAAATTAATGTAAATTCAGATTCGGAAGGCCCTCTGGGTTTGTAGTTGTCGTGTTGTTCACGTGTTTTGTTGTTGCGCATTGCAAGTTAATGTGTTTTCTTGTTGGGTTCCATTGCGTTCCCATTCGAGTTGGTGGTTTGCCACGCCAATTCTAGCTCGACGCACGCCTCGGGGCATAGACTTGCGCTCCTCGCGCCTGAACCTCAACCTCGTCTCGCTTGAGCCTCGCTGCGCGCGTGTCCGTCAGGGTGCCCACCTCGTTGGACAGCGCGCGGATGGCAGACCCCTTCTCGCCCTTCCTCTGCAGATCGACCCCGATGGTCGCGGAGTCGCACCTATTGACGAGGTTCTTAAAACAAGTCATCGTCGAGGGCGAAGTCGTTCCAGAAGGTGCTCATCACCTTCTTCTGCTCGAGCGAGTCCCGCGCGCCCCTCGGCTCCTCGAGCTGGAACTTGCCGCCCGCCCAGTTCCACCTGGGCTGCGCAGCCACAGCGATCAACAGGTCGGAACACCTGCGAGTTTCGTCTCCGCGACCTTCAGCTTCTTGAGCGTCTCCTGCAGCTTAGCAGCAGCGTCGTCATGTGGCTTATCGTCTCCGTCTACGTCGGACACGTGCTGCGCCGCCTTCGCCTTCTCCTGCGCAGGAGCCCCTCCAGTCTGGCCCCTCTGGCCCCCGACCATTGTCCTCGGCCCTGGCCGGTGCTGCGGATGTCTCATCGCCTCCGACGGTTGGCCCCGCCGCAGACCTGATCGCGCCCCCCGTCGGCGCGCCGACTTCCCCCCCCCCCCCCCCCACCCCCCCCCCCCCCCCCCCCCCCACCCCCCACCCCACCCCACCCCACCCCACCCCACTCACCCACCCACACCTCAGCCCTCACGGCGCCGAGAGAACATGCTTGCGAGTCAAGGGGAGTGGCAGGGGCATTCTCGATCGAACCCGCGCGGCTGGGGTCGGTCGAAATGATCTTGTCGGCCCACGTCTTGGCGCATGCCTGCTTGCACTTCTTGCGGGCACGAAGAAACCCAATCAACTTTGTCCAAGCGTTGAAGCCCAGGAAGGATCTACACTTGACGCCCCCCCCCCCCCCCCCCCCCCGAGCTCGCAGCGGCGCGCGCGCTCGGCCGCGCAGTTCCGAGTCCGAGCAGCCACTAGAGCAGGCGCGTCGCCCCCTTCTTCCCTCGCGACGCGAAGATATGGCGGGAACTGGCCGTCCATGATATCCTCCTCGGTAGAGCTCTTCTCCTCGGCCTTCCCCTTGATCGACGCCTCTAGCTTCGACTTCGCCCATTCCTGACGGGACTTCGCCTGGGCAAACCTGCCTTGTTTTTTGAGCTTCGCGTTGTCGTCGGCCAGTTTGCGGCTGCGTTTCTTATCAGTGGGCCAGCGGGGGCCGATCCTGCCTCTCAGGTCGAACGCCTTCTCCTCGATGCTCATCCTGCACGCGCGAATAAGGCCGGCGCCCTCGCTCGCCGGCGCCGTCGTCGTCGCCGACAAGGTCCGTCACAGTGGCGCTGTGCTCGTCGTCTTCCTCAGCTGGCATCGCTCCTCGAGGGTCGCGCGCCTGGCGGACAGTTGGAGTATATGTTTCAGTCCCGCCTGGAGTAGTCGGGGTGCCTGCCGCGCCCGCCGTCGGGGGGCTCGACGCAGCCCCCGCGCGCTCGCTGCTCGCGTTCTCGTCCCCTCCCATGCCAGGGTGCCAGGGCGCTCAACCTTCGCCATGAGGAACGCAACTACAAACGCAGCGATCTCCTCGAAGCTGCTAAAACTGTCCGCAGGCGCAGGCGCTGCAGCCGACACCCCCGCCCCAGGCTAGGGAGTCGCGCGAAATGGGCATCGCGGGGAGCGACGGGCCTAGAGCATCCACGGACAAACCAGCGGCGCTGAACTACCGAACGTCTGGAGCGCCCCAACCAAATCCAAAGCCGTTCCCCGGGAAGGAGGGAGGGAAAGGCGACGGGGGCGGGAAGGATCAGGAGGATGGAGGAGAAAGTTGGTCCAAGAGGGGCCCTAGGGAGCCCTCAACAGGATCCAAGAGGGCCCCCCAAAGAGATGCGCATGCGCTCGTCGCGTCAGGGGTCGCGCTGCTCTTTATGCGCAGTGCGCTTTTCAATGTGATTGTGATGGTGATGGTGCGGCTCGTTGATGGGTCACTTTGACACCGGCCATGGTGCTTGTGATGGAGATGGCGGCGGCGCGGATGGCGGCGACGGCACCGATGACGGCGACGACGACGATGATGATGTTGACGATGGTGATGACGATGGCGATGATGATGTTGATGCCGATGGTGACGATGATGACTATGATGCTGCAACTGATGAGTGTGCTGACGACGATGATGCTGTTGATGGCGGTGATGATGCTGATATTGACGTCGACGATGGCGGTGGCGATCGCGACGGTGCCGCTGCAGCTGTTTTGCTCCACGGCGTTGAACTACCCCCGCGTGGTCTGGGAACGAATCGTCGGCCAGCGAATGCACCCCCCTGCAAGCAGGGGCTAGTTTGTTGACCGCGCGTGCTCAACATTGTTTGGGACCTATGGTGTCCCTCCGTTCAGGCGCGATCAGACCTTACTGTTGATTGCGGATGGCGAAGCGTGGCCCAAGACCTCTGGAGCCCTTGCTATTTCTACATGGACTCATGGACTCTAAATCGAACTCCAAATCGATGACTTCGTCGGGCCAGAAGAAGGGCTGGGTCGAAGGCTCTGGATCCACGGCAGGCGAGCCAGAGGAGCTCGCCAAGGCAATCGATGCCTTGAACATGCTCGCCCTAGGCGTCTCACGCGCGCCTGGGGCCATCGCGTCTGGGGCCCCCTCGCGCCCCTCCATGACCGTGGGCCTGATGGGCGCAGCCTTCAACTCTAGCTTGATGGGCGAAGTCTTCTTCTTCGGCGTGGCTGTTCCACCCAGCGAGGCCACGCACTCCGCAGCGCACTCGTCGCGAAGCCTCTGGGCAACGTCAGGGCCCGCCCCGCCTGCCAGGGGTAGCGACATCCAGGGCAGCCTCCTTCGCAGCGTCAATGTCAAACCCAAGCTGAATGAAATGGATCGCGAGGACCTGGTGCTTCTGGGTGCGCTTCTTCTCCTCAGTCCCCTGCGGTAATGGAATGCGAGGTGCGCGAGCTTCTTCGGTGGCTCCTCTTTTCCGTCGCCATTCTTCTTGACGGCGATCTCGGTCTTCATCATTTCGCAGCTGGACCAGTAGGCCGCGTGCAGGACGCCAGTCTTCTCCGACTTGGCCAGGATCTCCATCAGTTCCACTGGATTGATGCGCTCGCACACCCTGACGGGCGAGTCGTGCTTGAAAGTGGCCTTGACAACTGCGTCGCCTGGCCGAGGAGTGACCCACTCGCCCCAGACCCTGACGCGCTTCTTCACGCCCCCGCCCTGCTTCTCAACGCAGGGCAAACGAATCTCTTCGTCGAAGTCGCAGCGCCCCTCGCGATGGCCAGCTGCAAGAGCCCCTCACGATGGCCATCTGAAGTGGCCTCTCCACGATGGCCATCTGCACTGCTGGGGCCACGGCAGCCACGGAGGCACTGGCCTACGATAGGAGGGCTGTCTTGGCTAGTTGGCACATCCTGGATGGAATCGCCGCGGTCAGCATCATCGCCATCCCCTTCGGGCGCGTCGTCAGCGGCAAAGGCCCGCGCCTCGCCACCGCCGGGGCCGCCATCGCCGCCAGTCGCCCCCGCCCCACCGTCGCTGAAGCATTCGTCGCCGCCGCTGTTGCCCACGCCCATCAAGTCCATCGCCCACGGGTTCTGCTTGCGCAGCAACGACTAGAGATGCGATGCCATCGTGCGGATGCGGTTCGAAATAACCGTAGCCCACTCCTCCTCGCGCTCGCGCTGCGGCTGCGGATCCCACGACTTCTTCGTCAGCTCGGACGCGTTGGTCAAGGCCTCCCGCGTGGATTTTTGCGAAAACTGCTAGTTCCCCTGCAAGCTGCTCAAGTATTTCAAAATGTTCTCTTGTGATTCGATCTTCTCGCGGTCGATCTGCCCCTGGATCTTCTCGCCGCACTGCGCGAATTGGCGCCCCGTCGCGCACTTGAGCAGCACCTCGACGAGGTTCTCGACGCTGCCGTCGCGGGCGCCATGCCCACGCCGCAAGCAACAGCAAGGGGTTCGTTCGTCCGGCTGGAGTGGCCTTCAAGCGTTTGAGCCAAAACATGTGACGGAGAGAGGCAGACCAGCGGTGACTCGGGGCAAACGCCCGAACCCCCAGGCGCCCTCGGGCAGGCGCTGGTCAGACGAATCGCTTCGCGAGATGCGCATCCTGAGTCCTGAGAGATTTAGCGCGACTGGCAGGAAAAATCGGCGCCTGCGGCCGGCTCGTTGTATGACGCGCGAAACGTTGGCGTCTGTGGCTGGTTTCTCCAGAGCCCCGCAGACTGCCGACGCCCCCACCGCCCCCTCACTCTCATCCGCAGATACGGGGTGCTACGTAATATTCCTACCGCCTTGTTTTTTTTTCTCCCCCCCCCCTGATCCCGTCTCGCGCTCGCCCTTCCAATGTTCTTATCCCTCCTTCTTATTATCCTCGCCCTTCCCCTGCTGCTGACGAGCGCATTCAATCGGAGATACTGTCAGCGTTGACTTCTGAACCACCAAGGATATGCAACGCATTCTGCGTTTTGCCCCACAGCCTCTTTGAACAAATTTGGGTAGGTCGCAAGTGGGTCGCTGGCGGGTCGCGGGCGGGTCGCAGGCGGGTCGCGGGGCGGGTCGCGGACGGGTCGCAAGCGGGTCGCGGGTGGGTCGCGGATGGGTCGCGGGGCCGATCGCGGGCGGGTCGCGGCGCGGGTCGCGGCGCGGGTCGCGGCGCGGGTCGCGCGTGGATCGCGGGCGGGTCGCGGATGGGTCGCGGGGCCGGTCGCGGGCGGGTCGCGGCGCGGGTCGCGCGTGGATCGCGGGCGGGTCGCGGATGGATCGCAGCGCGGGTCGCGGGTGGGTCGCGGGCTGGGTCGCGGGCGGGTCGCGGGGTGGGTCGCGGGGCGGGGCGCGCGTGGCGGGGCGGGGCGCGGGGCGGGTCGCGGGCCAGGTCGCGGGGTGGGTCGCGGGCGGGTCGCGCGGGGGGCGACGACAACAAACAAACGACAACAACGCGACAAGCATAATCCTCACCACGGACCCCACCTTCAGCCGCGCACCCAGGGGCAGTGGATGACCGCTCGGTCACCTCACCCTGATGAAGTGAAGGAGAACCGCGGGGATAATGATTATATAATGCCCCAGGATGGAAGGATTGCAGAGAGCAGGGGGAATTTTGAATACGAATGAAGATGAGGAGCAATAATGGATTTTTGCTGCGAAGGGAACGTTCGGGCATCATAGTCGAATGACGGACGCATCGGGCGCGCACTTTGCGCCTTGTTTCAAAACGTATTCTTCCGCCCAAGCGACCTCAGGGACTGGATGCAAGGGGAGGGAAGCTTTCTACATCGTACTTATATATATATATAT